ATCAGGTTGTGATAAAACCCTCGTGTGACCATTCCCTCCTCCCATCAGAAAATAGACGTTCAGGTAAGACCAACGTCCTTTCTCTCTGCCACTGTACCTGCTTTGTGAGACATCTTGCCCCCAGATGTGAGAAAAGCCCCCCATTTCTTGGCCTTCTGCAAAGGGGTCAAAACGTGACTCTGCGGCCTCATGGGGGGCCACAGAGGACCTGAAAATTGTGGAGCTGGCGAATCCCTTCAGGGTATTACAGGCCCCACCTGTAATAATCCAGCACTAAAAGGCAGTCTTAGAATTCCCTCCCCTTTTTGATGGACAATTGTCATTATTTTATCACTTTGAAATTTTTAATTTCTACTGTTAATTGGTATACATTTTTTATTTATTGTTTACATTGTATGATGCCCTGCCCTGAGCCCCTGTTTGAGGGTTTGGGCATCTTAGAAATATGAAATATAAATGAATAAATAATAGCCTAGAAGGGAATAGCTTGATGGGTGTGTGTGCCTATAACTATTCACTGTACAATGCAACATACAGATTATTTTTCAGTTCGCACTGTACCATTTGAGATTTTGAAGATTATACACCACAATCCAAGCAAACCAAATCTCTCTAATCTATTAAATTATACATTACATAAACATTAGGCTGGATTTCATCCATGTTACCGAGGTGTAATTTGATTTATCTTGATTTTCGCTTTTGATACCAACCCAACCAACTCTAGTTTATTCATGTAGAACGAAACAAGCCACAACCTAATCTTGCTGTTTTATGTTTAGTGGGGTAGCCCTTCCCACCATACCAGATATTGGAGTTTATCTTTGTGTGGCCGTGAGTATAACACACTGTCGGTCTCATATTAATCCGGTCCCACTGGTAGCTCAGGAAGGGGCCGGATGTTGATAGCCTCACGGATTTTACCAGGCTGCTGTGGAGACACGGGATGCCTGTGAATGGGTGCTTCAGTGAGTGGGCGCTTCAGTTCCACTGTCATGGTGTTTATTACCCGAACTATAGGAAAAGCCCTATGTATTTTGACCCCAGATTTCTGCATGGTACCCTCAATTTAAGGTATTTTGTGGAGAGATATACCTGGTCCCCTACCCTGAAAGGTTTGTGGGCTGCTTGTTTCTTGTTGGCCTGAAACTTATAGGTTCTGGCCACTTCCTGCAAGGCCGCTTTTACAACTCCCCAGGTGTCTGGTATCTTGTCTGCCCACTCTTTCAGGGTTCCTGGGCCCTGGGGCCCCTGGGTCCACTCTAGAATGGGCACAAACTCCACCTCATGCAGCACCCAGAAGGAGGTGAACCCGGTGCTACTGTGCACCATGTTATTATTATATGCCACCTCCGCGAAGGAAAGTAAGCCTGGCAAATCCGTCTGATAATATGAGATGTAATGTCTCAGATAGCATTCCACCATGGCATTTGCATGTTCAGAGGCTCCATTGGTGCTGGGGTGGAATGCTGAGCTCAAGCCTTGGGAGGAACCTATGAGGCGTACAAAGTCATGCCGAAATTGCACCTCCCTAATCGAGATGATACGTCAGGGTACTCTGTGGAGACAGTAGATGTGACTAATAAACAGTTTGACAAGCTGCTGGGCCGATGATACCCCAGTGCACGAATGAAATGTGCCTGTTTTGAGAACAAGTCAATGACTGTCAATATTGCAGTGTGCCCATTACTCTCTGGAAAGTCTACTATGAAGGCCGTGGTGATCTCTTCCCATGGTCAGACAGGATCAGCCACGGTCTGCAGGAGACCTAGTGGTTTTTCAGGCCACGCCTTCGCTGATGCACACATCGGACGGCTTTTCACATAGTTCTCAATCTCTGCTCTCATGCGAGGCCACCAGAACTGCCATTTGGCCAGGTAGATGGTTTTAAGGAGCCCAAAATGGCCAGCTGTTTGACTGGCCAACAGTCGTGGCACTGCTGTAATACAGTGTGTGTCAAGGCAGGTGGTATATATAGTTTGTCATTCCTCCATGCTAGTCCTTCTCTATACATGAACAGTGTTTTGTTCTCCAACAGCCAGGAGTCCTGTAACAATGCAGTTCACAGCTCCTCTGTCAACCCCTCCCCGGGACCTTCACCCATCACCCGAGCCACCAGTTGCCTGGGTGAAATGATGGCTTGCACCACGTCTTGGTATTGGGGCATGTGTGATAGGGCATTGGCCAATAAGTTCTTCTCTGCGGGGATGTACCGCAGGATGAAATTAAACCATTGAAAGTATTGTGCCCACTGGACCTGTTTTGGCGACAACCACTGTGGGGTTTGAAGGGCCTCAAGGTTTTTATGGTCTAACCAAACCTCAAATGGTTCCTGGGCCCCCTCAAGGAGATGTTGCCATGTTAGTAACGCCCACCGCACCGCAAAGGCCTCTTTTTCCCAGCTCACCCAACCTTGTTCCGTCTGCAAAGGCTTACAGGAGATGTTGGCCACACCCACCCAATCACATGACCACCCATCCAGGCCCACCTAATCACAGGACCATCCATCCACGGCCACCCCATCACATGACCACCAAGCCACACCCACCCAGTCACATGACCACCAAGCCATGCCCATCCGGTCACATGACCACCAAGCCACACCCACAGAACCGGTAGTTAAAAAATTTGAATCCCACCACTGCAGTCAAGGACATATTAACCTCCTCCTCTTGGGTTGAACATCAAGTAAATGCTTCCATTGAAAAGAATATCGTCTCTTCATGGATGGTAGCATCGGAGGGAATTTTGCAAGGCCACCCATGAGTGTGAAATTCAGAAGCACAGAATAATGGTTTTGGTCCCTCTTTGCTGCCAGATTGAAGGCTAAATTTGGTAGTCTTAGTTGGACCACTTTGGATCTTTGTAACGTGTGGATTTAATCTTTGGGTATGCAATTATAAACCATAGAATCATAGGGCTGGAAGGGACCTTGGAAGTCTTCTAGTCCAACCCCTTACCTAAGGCAAGTTGAGTTTTTAAACCTATAGTTTGACATATGGATATACAGCCCTCTTAATGTGGCTGAACTCCCAAAATTCCAAGCCATCATGGCCACTGGAAAGGGATGGAGCAATGGTTGGTGGTTAGGTTTGGTTTCCAAGGCTGTAGCTTAGAATTCCCAGCTTGTTTTTGCTTTTGAACAATTGGCTGATGGCTTCTTCAAGCTTCCACAGAAAACCTATATGAGAAACAAATAGCCATGAAAAGAAATTATTAATATGCACTGGCCCATAAAATAATCTAATTAATTATTAAACTATATTATTATATTTTATGAAAACTTTATTAGCAAAACAAAGGGGAAAAAATCAAAACAACAAGCAAGCTAATGCAACCCCCTAGAAATAACATATTACCTATAAATCATCTAAATAGCAATAGCAATAGCAGTTAGACTTATATACCGCTTCATAGGGCTTTCAGCCCTCTCTAAGCGGTTTACAGAGTCAGCATATTGCCCGC